GGGCTTTTGGAATCTCTGGGAAAGGTACTCACCCGACTGATTCCAACATCGACATCGTCCCCATCAACCTCGACACTGGCAATGGCGTCATCACTGCATGGGCAAGAGTTGCTCCTCCGCGCTCGGAGAAGTTGAAGCAGCGGCAGCTGCCCACTACATCATTGCCTCTGGAACTCAAGAAGACTTTCCGAGCAGCCGCTCCAATTGCCGTTCCGACTGAGGCGCAGCAAGGAGGGTCTGGTGATGCGGACATGGCGCAGAAAGGCTCGGAGGGTCAGGCGTCGGCCGATGCAAAGTGATGAACCGGCCGCCAAGCGTGTTGCAGTTGCGCCTGAGCTCCGAAGTGTGCCCAAGGGGATGCAGATTGAAGCTCAGCCAAAGAATGGTGCTTGCGCTTTCCATTGCTTTTCGACTGGCCTCAAGAAGATTTCCAAGGGTAAGATCGACAAGCATCCACGTAACCTTCGAGCAGAGTGTATCGAGCACATGCAGAAGCATAGTGAGGAGTATCGAGCTTCTTGGGACGGCAAGGGTCCAGAAGGAAGCAAACTGGACACATGGGAGGCATATATCACGGCCGTCAGTGCCGAGAGTGCATACGTCTCTGACTTGGAGATCAGGGCATTGGCCCGGCTGTACGACGTCCGGGTCGTGTTGGTGCCACAGCTTGCGTGCTTCCCTCCGGTTGTGTTCCATTCCTGCCAGAAGAGCCCTAAGCGGTGTTTGGTTATGTGGTACTCCGAGCGGCACCTCGACTTGCTCGTCACTGAGGAAGGGAAGCGCATTCCTTCAGACATCACCGAGATCACGGCATCCATCAACTTCGAGCTTCGCGTTGGTGGTGGCCCGTCAGTGGCATCTTCGTCCGAGGGTGAGTGGGGTGGCCCTGGCTCCGTCTTCACTGATCCAGCTCCTAAGGTCCAATCCCAGAGTGGTGATGGTCGCACAGCCGCCTCATCATCTTGGAAAACCAGAAGTGGCACGGTTTGGACGAAGCCGACTGCTGCTCGGAAGGCGTTACCAACCCAGGCGACGCTTGGAGCGACCAGCAATCTTGAAGAGGAGATTGAGGCATCTGCTGGAAATGCTAAACCACGCTACAACTGGTGGGGGCATGGCATCAAGAAAGTCCGGACCTACCAATGCGAGCTTTGTTCCTTTGCCGTGGCGGTGAAAGGCCCAGCTGATCTCTGCGCGAAGAGGTACAGTCACTGTATCCGCCACCACGACGGAGAAGGATTACCAGGCAGGAAATCTCGAGCTGCTGACTACATCGTCCCGATCAAGGGACCGCGTGCAAAGTATGCTTGGATTTGTCCTCTTTGTCCTTATGGATTGCCTGACCGAATGCGATCTGCCCTGTCCATCCCTGCAGTCAACAAGGCCAAGCAGAAGCACAGAAAACAGCATCATGCGCGAATCACCGATTCCAAGTGGAAGAGTCTCTGCCAAGCCAAGGATGGTAGTGCGACCGCGGCCCATCGGGTCACCATCTTCAACAAGGAGACGGCCAGAAACTTTCGGGAAGACACGCAGTACACGACTGCGGGATTTAGGAAGTTCACCTGGCCACGACCGTGCAGCTATGTCAAGAAAAAGATTGAGAAGGTCACGTTTCGAACAGCCTGGAACTGCCGCCGCTGTGGGATGTGTTTTTGGAGGCGCTCTGCTCTGCCGAAGCATGGTCCCAAAACCTGTCTTCCTGACCTTGCGAAGAAATCCCGTAAGCGAGGTCAAGACGGCTGTGGCGACGCACCCAACTCAGATACTGCTGGAGCAGAGCGCCGTGTGGTCTTCCATCTGGGCACGATCTGGGGATTGCAGCTTTGACCCGGGCCCGCTGAGGCAAGTTCTCGCCGAGTTGCCAAGGCCAGACGACGCGGACGTCGACTTGCAGATCACGCCGGATGGACTTCGGAAGGCTACCCGTCGGATGCTCAAGAAGGCCTGTGGAGCCGATGGATGGGAAGCTGACTTCCTCAGATTACCTGATCTTTTCTGGTCCGCGGCTTCAAGATTGTGGAATCGAGCTCTCCTGTTGGGACAGCTGCCAACGTCTTGGACAAGTGCTTTGGTGGTGCTGATCCCGAAACCTGATGGCCGTACGCGTCCCATTGGGCTGTTGCCAATCCTGTGGCGAGCTGGAGCGAGGTGCCTGGTGAAGCAGCTCCGCAACTGGTGTAGCAGCTGGACGACGGCGCAGGCCATGGGCGGCTTGGCTGGTATAGGTGTTGCAGATGCGCACATGCGCCTGATGGGAGCTAATAAGCGGGGCACGCGATCCTACGTCAAGCAGGACCTCTCGCATTTCTTTGACTCTTTGACCTTGGACGTTTTGGTGCCGCTACTTCAGCATTACAAGGCTCCGAGCGCTTTGGTTCGTTTGGTGCAGGCCATGTATCGATCACCGCAGCGACTTTTCAAAGTTGGGCATTTCACCAGTGCTGGCTTTGCATCTGTGAACTCTGGAGTGGTGCAGGGCTGTCCTTTGAGTCCATTGCTGTCACTTCTTGTTGGCCAGGCGTGGGCTTCTTATGCTGTCATGCAAACCCCAGAGATCCGTTCGCTGGTTTACATCGACGACCGCCTCCTTCGGCCAACGTCGCGAACCCCAGCAGCTGGAGATGCGATGAGGCGGGCTTTGCAGAGATCCGACTTTTTTGACAAAGCCCTTGAACTTCAGTGCAAGCCTGAGAAGTGTGCGCTGGCGCATTCCCCGCAAGCCACGGAGCTTGTGCCACTCATTGCTGAGAGAGGATATCCATGCGTGCGCACGTTGGATTTTCTTGGCATTCAGTTTGACCTTCTGACTCAGCAATGTACGCCGTTGAAGCTGGACCTCGACAAGGTGAAGTGGCGAATCCGCTATCTCAGACGTCTGGGTGCTCCCTTCGCGACCCTGAAGATGCTGCTAGCGTCCCTTGTTTCGTCGGCGCTGTTTTGGGCTAGTGGAGTTGCCAAGCCACAAGCGGAAGACTTCCGTCTGCTCAACAACGAGCTGTACTACCTCTTCCAGGCCAACTTCCTTCAAGACACGCCTCGGCTACTGATCCATGAGTTGATGGATTGGAGGAGCGAGCCTCAGTTTGCGTGTGACATTGCCGCCTTTCAAGCGGTTGTTCGCTATGTTTCCAGAGTGCCCGAGTGGCGGGAGCAAGTTCCCCTCACGGAAGCCTTTGACAACTGGCGCGACGTGCTCCCGTTGGCGGTGCAGGCAATCGAGAGGTGTGGATGGCAAATCCTGCAAAATGGCCGCGAGCTGCAGCGTGATGACGATTGTGGCAACCGGCGGATTTTTCGTTTCGGCAGCGACTCCCTGGCGATTGTCGAAGACTGGTTGCGCATTGAGTATCGTAGGCGGTTCATGCGTCGATGTGGCCGTGTGCGGCAGAGATTGCATCGTGATGGCCACTTTGCCTCTGGCTTTGACCTCCCAGCGCCCGAGCAGCTCGACTTCAGCTTCGAAGGGCACAAGAAAGTTTTCCTGCAAGCCTCCTCTGTTCCACTACGCCGTGCGGCCGCGGCCACGGGTGGGTCGATTTGGTATTGGACTGCAGGTCTTCGACTGCAAGAGGATGATGCTCGCCTCCGTTGTCTTTGCGGTGAACTCGCGCCATCTCGGGCGCATTTGACTTGGGTATGCCCCCGCGCGTCGTCTTGCCGTGAGGGCTTGCAAGCCCCAACACATCGCGCTGAGGAGCGGCTGTTCACAGCACGGCAGTGCCGCAGTGGCCTCCAGCGCCGGTCTGCATCGATGAGGAGGACTTCATTGACTCTCTGGCCGAAGACGCAGTGCAGGCGGCAAGGGAGATCGAGGCGATGTCAGAGGACGCTGCTGAGTTCCAGGACTTTGCCATCGAAGCGGATGGGCAGGTCCCTTCCGAGGCCGCGACTGGGCCCTGGATGATTGCTGCCACTGATGGTTCGGCGCGAGATGGTGTTGCTGGATACAGCGTGGTTTTTCCTGGAGGCCGCGGTGGAGGAAGCGGCGATGGAAGTGAGGACCAAAGCCCCTATCGGGCCGAACTCAAGGCCCTTTTGCTGCTGCTTCAAGCGATCAGCCGCGCCGCGAGCAACGGCTTGGCGCCCCGGTTGCTCTGGGTCATTGTTGACTGTAAGGCAGCCATTGACAGTTTGAAGTGCCCTTCTGCGTCCTGCTTGCCAGTCCTTGCGTTACGGGCAGCTCGGGCTTTGAGTGACCTCACGTGTGTAGGGTGGCAGGTTCGCTTGGTTTGGACTCCATCGCATGGGAAGCAACCTTCATGGAGACCTCCCGCGCCTCTTGGGGCTGATTTGTGTAGGCTTCTCAACGAGGCTGCCGATGTTCAAGCTCGACAGGCCATGGAGCGGCGGAGAGCCGGCTCCCAGCGCGCCCGATGGTGGGAAACTGCTGCACGAGCTTCGCAGTGGGAGACCAAGGCCATCTATGCGTCTGCCAAGGCAAGTGAGATGCTCAGTAACCACATCAAGGAGGTTGGACGTCGCAGTCTGGCCGGAGACTCTGGAAGTGGTGGAGGTAGCGATGACTGAGTTGCATCCCTATTTCTGCATGCAGTCCGTGTTCTTTGACGCCTGCGGATTCCTGGATTTCGCTGGCTGCTTCTTCCTAGATTTAGCTGTGCAAGGTTTCCTGCCTGGAGTCACCTGTGTAGGATTCTTAGTTTGTGGGCGGACCCAAAGACCGAGAAAAGTGATCAAGAAAGTGTCAAGACTCTTTCAAGATCCCAGAGGGGACAAAGAGCTGTCAATGACAGTCAGGGATGGCTTGGATTGCAACACTAGCCCTAATGGGCTCCCCTGGGCCTCCTTTGCTCTTCTGTGCTGCCATGGCTTCGATGTCAGGTTGTTGGGCTTTGGGCAAGCTCAGTTGTGGACTTTGAGTGCTTCGAGTATGAGACCGCTTCACCTGGGCTGTGGTCGAGCAGGCCGCCCGGGAGACTACGTTGACTCCTGGGCTCCAGCAAGTGCTTGCGTCCGATGGCCTAGGATTCCAGATGCTACGAGGTCCTTCGCAATCTCTGCTCCTGCTTCGTACTGGGATGTGGCTGTGATTGGTGGACTTTTCAGTTTGGATACTGCTGCTGGTGGAGACCGCTACGCCTACGTTGGCTTTTTCAACTTCGAGCTCGAGGACACTGACTGGAGCTATGATGTTTCTGTGGTGGTTGCTGCTGCGCCTGGTGCTAGGTGGTCACGGATGGCGGCGACTTCTACGACTGCGTTGGATTCACCCACTCCGTGCTTTTCGTTGCCGCTGGCTGGTGATCGGGTCTTGTTGGTGCTTGCTGAGGCTTCTTGT